CCCCTCCCCCCCTTTTTTTAATAGCTGAACAAGAACATACTCAGAAGAAGACCTTCACCTGCTGGATAAACTCACAGTTGGCAAAGGTGAGGAAAAAAATGACAAATTAAGTTATAAATATATTAAGTTACTCCCCTTACTCCCTCGATTTTGGCCCCAAGGAGGCCATTCAAAAATGGTAAAAGACTGTTGAATGTCTTTGTTGAAAAAAATGTGCTGATAGTCACCTTGATTTCGTTTTGATGTTTTTGTTATTCTTTCCCAACACACAAAAAGGCTACTTTTATTAAGGACATGGGACAGTGATGTAAAAATATTTAAAATGGTAGCATGTCTTTCATTAAATGAAACAATAATAATAATGCCTTATATACACTGAGTGCTGACTATGTGTTCAGCACTGTCCTAGGTTCTTTAAATATAATAACTTTTTCAATCTTCTCAACATCCCTATAAGATAGGTAGTGTTTAAAGGACAAGGAAAGCAAGGTGCAGAGAAGTTATGTGACTTGCTTAGGGTCACACTATTTGTAAGTGATAGTTCCAGGATACAAACACAAGCAGTCTGGACGCAGAGGCCTTGATCTTAATCACTGTGCCACCCTACCTTTCAGTATGCCAAGTGCCTGCTATAGCCTAGATACACTAAGAGTGAGCCTCTTCTCACAGGCTATTCACACTGTCTCCTATGTGCCCATCCCAACACAGTGCTTGTCTTTCTAAAAAGAGAAATACATAAACAGGCTTACTCTAGAAATATAATGTGCTCTCCAAATGGGTCACTATTGGTTGGTTTTGAATGTCTAATGTTGCTTTTAGGCACAGATTTTTGACTCTCAGTGAAAGTTCCACACCTAATAGAGTGTTGTGTTACTAGAAGTTTGCCAGGAGATAAGTTAGGTTCACTGCTTTTCTTATCATGTTTTGATATGGAACATTGTGTGCTTTCTATCATTGTGTTAATTTAGAAGAAAATCACTACCAGAAAGACACAGAGTACATATATGAGATTCTTAAAGGTATTGTGTCCAAGTTTGAGTGATTATTTTTCTTGTGACCATTTGCAGCACACTCCCCCCTCAGTTGTATCAGACCTGTTCACAGATATTAAAAAGGGGCATGTCCTCCTGGACCTGTTAGAAGTACTTTCAGGACAACAGTTGGTAAGCTTTTAAATGACATCAAGAAACTTCATTACTTTAAAAAAAATGTATATTTCTGAGTGATATATTTTGTTTGAATTTCATAGCCTCGAGATAAAGGATCTAATACATTCCAGTGTAGAATCAACATAGAACATGCTCTGGCATTCCTAAAAAACCGATCAGTGAGTATGAATTTCACATGAAAACTCTTAGGAGAGGTTAATGCTATGAAATACTTTCTCCTTTTGACATGCATTTCTTCTTTTGCAGATCAAGCTAATAAATATTCATGTTACTGATATTATAGATGGAAACCCATCTATTATTCTTGGCCTAATTTGGACAATTATACTGCACTTTCATGTAAGTAGTATGATGATATAAAAATGTTATTTCTACTCTAAGTACTGCAGGATGAAATATGTGTCATGAAATAAATGCGACTTGGTGCTAGATTCAATGTTGAGCTTTTCCGTAATAGGACACTGGAAATCTTAACAGGTGGAAAATATATAACAAACTTTTTGTTGTCGTTGAAAGTTGAATTATGATATTCTAAGCACCAGTATAAACAGAACCTGCTCTAATAAATGATTGCTTATTTTTGTTTATTTATGGCAGAGGAGAGACTAGGAAGCTGCTGGAATAAATGCCTGAAAATTCAGCCACTAAACCTTATAAAATCTCCCTATTTTTGAGTACTTTTGTCCAGTCTAACTAAATAATTCCACAACATTCAGTTCTGTCCCAAAACTGACTCATAGATTTATTTTATTCTATAGATTGTTTTTGAACACCTACTATGTATTAGCTATTGTGCTAGGACTAGCAGTGAATAAGACAGTTATAGTTCTGACTTTATGAAACTTATGGTTGATATCTGTATTCTAAACCTATATTCTGTCAGGGCTGGGATTCTGACAGTGTAGGTTTTCTGCAGTTATCTACAAAGTTATATTTCCTATACCTCCATAATTACTTTCAAAATAATTTGAAAAATTAAACAAGAAACAAATACTTACTATAGAAAAACTAGAAAATAACATAAGTAGTTTAAATAAAATTTAAGGCATTCAGAATCAGACTATGTATTATTTCTGGATACATGTATTTGTAGTAATAGTAGAATAATATGCATGAGGATAATAAAAACTAAATTTAGCATTGTGATTTTTCCTCTGGGAAAAGAAGAAAATGGGAATGGAGATGGAAAAACAGTAAGTTTAAACTGTATCTGTGTTTTATTTATTTATTTTTAAAATCTGAACCAAATAGTATAAAATAGTAAAATTCGGTAATTCGTGGGTACGTATTATATTTTTTCTGCATGCTTTTCTGAGTATTTGAAATGTGATTAAAAATTTCAGTAAGAAAAAGAAAATAAAAATCATGTATAATTCCACCACTCATAGATAACTTAGGTAAATAATTTGGTGTACAGTCTTTATGATATATATGGCAGAAATTAGTATATATTTATATATGTATATCTGAAACAAAATAGGGTCATGCTATCCATACTGTTTTCTTCTTTTTTTAAATCCATACAGTTTTATATTGTGCTAATGAACATCTTTCTGAATTTATGTATATTTTAATAGTGGCATGGTGTTCCATTATAAAAGTACTGTATTTCATTAATAGACAAGAAGAATGCTTACAACTTTTTGTGATTATAATTCCAAAAAGAACACCCTCAAAATAAAACCTCTGCATACAGTTTTAATCATTTCCATGGGCCACATACCTAGACTAAGTGGAATTGTTGGGCCATAGGGTATGCAAACTTAAAGCTTAAAAATTTTCTTAAAATTATCTTAAGTAAACTTTCTGTTGAAGTTTAACACACATAGAGGAAAATGTACAAGTCATAATTGTTATGCTTGATAAATTTTCACAAATTAAACAATCCATATAACCACCACCTAAGATAGAAATGTAGAACATTGCCAGCATCCTAGAGTCCCCAGGTTTTCTTCCCATTCACTGTCCTTACCTAAAGATTATCACAACTTTGATCTCTATCATCATTGACAAGTTTAGCATTTTTAACTCTATATAAATGAAATTATAAGTGTATACTCTTATATACAGTACTACTTTATGTCTGACTTCTTTCACTTAATGTCTATGAGATTTATCCTGTTGTATTAGTAGGTCTTTCTTTTCTATTGTTGTGTATGAATATACCATTGTATGTACATACCACAATTTATCTACCATTCTACTGTTGATGACATTTCTTTTGTTTCTCGTTTTTAGCTATTATGAATAAAGCCGCTGGAAACATTCTTGTACGTGCCATTTAGTGGTGCAAATCCTCAATTCCATTGTGTATATATGTAGAAGTGGAATTGCTGAGTCATAGGGCATGTAATCTTCAGCTTTAGTAACCAAAAAAAAACTAAACCCATTGCCGTCGAGTCGATTCCGACTCATAGTGACCCTATATGACAGGGTAGAACTGCTCCACAGGGTTTCCAGGGAGCACCTGGTGGATTTGAACTGCCAGAGTTTTGGTTAACAGCCGTAGCTCTTAACCACTACACCACCAGGGTTTCCGCTTTAGTAGATACTGCCAAATAGTTTTTCAAAGTGGTTGTTCCAATTTACACTCTCACCAGAGTTTGAGAGTTCCTTGCTCCAGTGCTTGCTAATACTTGTCATTGTTAGTCTTTAAATTTTATCTTAGCCGTGCTGTTGTGTGTAATGACTATGTAGAAGTTTTAAACTATATTTTGGGTACAAGTTCTTTGTTGGAGATCTCCAGCAAATACACACATGCACACACACACATATACATCTCAAATAATCTTGTCTGACTCTGTAGCTTGCCTCAATCTTTTAATGTAGTTCAAATTTATCAACTTTTTTTTTTTGTGGCTGGTGCTTTCATGTCCTATTAAGAAATCTTTGCCTATCCCAGTGTCATGAAGAAAATTCTTTTGTGTTGTTTCCGGAACAGTCCTGTCCAATAGAACTTTCTGCAGTGATGGAGATGCTCTGTATCTGCACTGTACAAAAGAGGGCTTACTAGCTGCATGCGAACACCTGACATGTGGCTTGTATGACTGAGGAACTGAATTTTTAATTTTATTTAATTTAAAGTTAGATTTTAATAGCCACATGTGGTTAGCATATTGGACAACACAGTTGTAGAACCTTAATTGTTTTCCCATTTCTCATTGAGATGCACTAGTTTTCTAGGAAAAAAAAAAGAAAAGTAGACCAATCAGATCAAGTTTGTTAATTCTGTTGGTCCAATCTACTGTTATTGGTTGTCTGATTATTCTATAGGTGGTGTAGTAGTTAAGAGCTCAGCTGCTAACCAAAAGGTCGGCAGTTCGAATCCACCAGCTGCTCCTTGAAAACCCTGTGGGAGCCGTTCTACTCTGTCCTATAGGGTTGCTATGAGTTGGAATTTACTCGACAGCTACAGTTTTTTTTTTTTATTTTTTTTTTTTAACTAAGTGTTTGGATTTATCTTTGAAAGTTTTGGATATGTATTATCATAGTGCCCTTCAAAATATTTGAAACAGTTTGTACTTTTACCAGCAATATCTGAATATCCAGTTTTCCATATCCTCAACATCATTGAATATTATCTTTTAAAATTTTTTTCCTATGTTATATATAGAAAATGTTATACCCTTGCTGTTTGTATTTAGATTTTTAAAATTACTAGTAAGGTTGTTTTTCATAAATTTAATGACAATTTCATTTTCTTTCTTGAGATTTGCCTGTACATGTTTTTTTTTCTTTTTTTTCCCTCCTTCTTTATATACATTAGTTTCTTAATGATTTATAGTCAAGGCTGCATTTTCATTGACTCAGCCTCTGAAGATACTGTAGAATAGGAACTCAATTTAGTTCAGTTCAATCTAGTTTGACAGGTGTTGAGCACCCCGTAAAATGCTCTGTAAGCCCTTTAGTGGGATGAATAGATCCTTGTCCTCAGTGTGAAATGCCCTGCCTGGGTGAGGGCATGAAATGACCCACGTCCAGGCTGAAGGAAAACCAAAGTGCAGCCCCAGATAAGAAGTGCTGCTATTCAAGGATTTGGTTTCCAAGTAAACTGCCACTGTGATATAATACTTTTCAGGTCTTGTATTGGCTGTAGTGTTTTGCTCAGTGCTGCTAATTTATGATTCTGTATATGTTCACGATTATTATCTTGTCCTTAGATTGAGGAGCTTGCCTGGACTCTTTCTTGCAATTACAATCAACCCTCCCTGGATTGTGTGAGTGAGGTTGACTTATCGCCTACCTCAAGCCCTCCAGCTAAGAAATGCTCCAAAGCCCAAGCAAGGTGGCAGATGTCTGCAAAGAAGGCTCTTCTCTTGTGGGCTCAGGAACAATGTGCCACGTAAGTAGTTTCGTATGACCAGAGAAGACCCACAGGGCAGCTGTACCTACCAACTCTACCTTACTGAGCTCCAGGCCTGAAAATCGGGCTGACTGGGAATAACACCCACCCAGACACTTCTGACTCATAAAGAGAAAATGGTCACTATGCCCCCGTCCTCTCACAGTGAATTTTCTAATTGTGGAGGTCTGTGAGCTTAGTCACTCTTAGTTCTCAAAGCCAGAACATGGTATCATCTGGGTAAACTACCTATTGCCTGCCCTGTGTTTAGGTTAGGTGGCCTGTTACTATGTGGGAATAAGACAGTCTTTAAATACTCTTTTCTTTATGCATAGTTCCATCTGGAAGATGGACTTAGGTTCAAAAAGCTTTACCATACTGTGAGCTCTTTAGAAGTTAAGACTATGCTTAATTGACTGTGTACCCCTGCACCTGACATAATCCAAGTGCATGGTAGGTATTCCATAAATATTTGTTGAACAAATGAATGAACAAATGAATGAATTAATAACCAACACATGAAATTGCCTCTTGGAACTGTATGTGATTTTTACATTAAGAGTCCACAGTCCTCATTGTTTAGAAACTCACAGCTCAATAAGGAAACAAAGCAACAAAAGAATAGTAAAAAAAAACAGCAATGAATGTGAAGGGAAGTTAGTACTCATAATTTCTTTTTTACAAAAAAAAAAAAAATAGTTCTCTGCTCTTGGGAGTCACTTTATTTGATTGGTTGATTGATTGATTGATTGTACTTCAGGTGAAGGCTTACAGAACAAATAGTTTCTCATGAAACAGTAGTACACATATTGTTTTATGACATTGGTTAACAACCCCACAACATGTCAACCCTCTCCCTTCTCGACCTTTTTTTTTTTTTGGTGAAAATATACATAGCCAAAGATACACCATTTCAAAAATTTCTACATGCACAGTTCAGTGACATCAGCTATGCTCTTCCAATTGTGCTGCTATTCTTACTTTAGATGAAGGCTTACAGAACAAAATAGTTTCTCATTTAACAGTTCCTACAAATGTTGCCCTATGACAATGGTTAACGACCTCACAACACATCAACACTATCCTTACTCAACCTTGGGTTCCCTATCACCAGCTTTCCTGTCCCCTTCTGCCTTCTGGCCCTTGACACTGGACTCCTGTACCTCGTTAGTCTCATTTGGTTTTACGGGGCTGTCCATTCCCAGGCTGAACAGTGAACCTCGGAGGTAACTTCACCACTGAGCTGAAAGGGTGTCTGGGGGCCATACTCTTGAGGTTTCTCCAGTCTCCTTTAGGCCAGTAAATCTGGTCTTTTTTTTTTTTTTTTTGTGAGTTAGAATTATGTTCTACATCCTTCTCCAGCTCTATCCAGAACCCTCTGTTGTGATCCTGGTCAGAGCAGTGAGTGGTGGTAGCCGGGCACCATCTAGCTGTACTGGACTCAGTCCGGTGGAGGCCTTGGTAGCTGTGGGCGATTAGTCCTTCGGACTAATCTTTTCCTTATCCTGTTCTCTTCATTCTCCCTTGCTCCTGAAGGGATGAGACCAGTGGAGTATCTTAGATGGCTGCTCACAGGCTTTAAGAGCCCAGACACTACTCACCAAGGTAGAATGTAGAACATAGTCTTTGTAAATTGTGTTATGCCAATTGAGCTAGATGTTCCCCGAGACCATGGTTCCCACAGCCCTCCACCCAGCAATTTAGTCCCTCAGGGAGTTTGAATGTGTCTAAGGAGCTTCCATGACCTTTCCTTGTACAAGTTGTGCTGGTTTCCCCTGTATTGTATAGTTCTCTGCTCTTGGAGTCACTTTTTAAAAAATTTTAACCAGCTGCTGAGATGGGATTTCGGAAGAATAAGGAGGTTAGGATGCAGGAGATTTCATCACAAGAAGAGCTGCAGAGCTTAGAAAGCATTCCTTGTCACATACAGCACTGCCAGGGTAAATAGAGTCGTAAATATGTTGTTGTGCCCTTTCAAAAGCCTAGGCTTCTGAGTTACTCCTGCCTAATGAAAGGCTATAATGTTAATTTCTCCTTCAGTCTTTAGCATCCTCTTATATTCTATAAGGGATGCAATGTGCATATCTTACAGGTTTTAAGTGCATTAAATGAACTTTTTCTTGAATCTCCTAGAGACAGCTGTACTTCACTTTAAAAAATTTTTTTTTTAAATCCAAAGCACAGCATGTGTGAAAAATGTTATTACATCCAGGGGTGCATTTACCAGTAAGCAAGGTATACACGGGCTTACTGTGTTTACTTACTAATCTGTAGTGCATAATTTCACATGGGTTTCAACACATCTTTGATGAGGTGAAAAACAGGTGAAATTGTGCACTACAGATTAGTAAGTAAGCACAAGTGAGCCAATGTGTACCTTGCTTATTGGGTAATCCGTCCCTGATTACATCATATGCAGATTTGTTTCATTTATGCATAAATAATCTTCAAACTCTTTCAAATTCCATATATGTTACAACAGTTCCTCTTTTCTCCATGTCCCTCCTTATCTTTCAAATATAGGGCATATGTTAAACGTATTAAGTTGCAGCACCTTAAGTAATTCATCATGCTGTCATCCTAGTTTTGGCTGTCATTGGTGGTATTATTTGAAAACTTTTATTTCAATATACTGTGATTATCTGGGACTCAGATATAAGACTCTATTGTAAGAAATGGATTTTATTTTCTTATTTGTGAAGTAGATGAATCAGACCCCGTTCCCTCTAGTAAATGAGCCTGAATACTGCCCGTCATCCCGGAGCCTAACCCTGCCTTCCCTAACACCTTGCAGTAACATGTTCTTTGTGGTACTGGCTTTGGCTTGTCAGTGAAGAACTGATCTCACAGCCTGGTGCTTTATTGAGTACAGTGCCTGCCAGTCGGAGCTAAGCTGGCTCTGCCCCAAACTCAGCACTCTGGAGGTGGCCTAGCCCCTCCCTCACCCCAGCCTTCTGTTTAGCTTAGTATTTAAGAGCATACTCTTCAGTCGGAATACCTGGGTTTAAGTCCTAGCTTCCACCAATTTCTAACTGATGACCTTGGTCATCTAATCTGCTTGTGCTCTAGTTTCCTCAGTGAGAAAATGTGGACAATAATATTTACCTCATAAAATTGTTATAAGTAGAATAAAAATTAATCTTAAAAGCATTTGGAATAGTTCTGGACACAGTAAGCGCCATGCATTTGTTAAACAAAACACAAATCAGTAACTATTGTGTAGTGTATAACAGTCATAGTTTAGGCTGTTTTTTCCTAAGAGGAACCAAGCTTTTATCATTTGATTCATTCCTTAAATTAGTCCATTGAATTTCCTCTTGTTTTTTTCAATGAGATATTAAAGGCGACTAGAATTGTTCTGGGCAGCTGGGTGTCGCCAAAGGTTAAGTGCTTGACTACTAGCTGAAAGGTTGGTAGTTCGATCCTACCCAGAGGTTCTTTGGAAGACAGACCTAGTGATCTGCTTCTGAAAGATCATTGCCTAGGAAACCCTATGGGACAGTTCTACTCTGCACACATGAAGTCACCATGAGTCAGAATTGACTCGATGGCAACCAACAATAACAACAGAGTTGTTCTGGAATATTTCCCAAACTTTATGGGCAAGAATACTCTTTTACAAAACCTTCACTGATCCATTCTTAGATAAAGGGTTTTAAGCAAAAGAGTGACAAGATCTATGCATCTAGTGAGCTACTAAGCCATTGACTTGGCACAATATATCATTTAATTTGTTCTTATGAGAAAGAAAATTGTTTCTTACAACAAGGGACATTAAGTGAATGTAGAGGTCTAAAGTCAGTCATGGAGCCCTGGTGGTGCAGTGGTTAAGAGCTTGGCTGCTAACCAAAAAAAAGGTTGGCAGTTCAAATCCACCAGCCTCTCCTTGGAAACTCCATGGTGCGGTTCTACTCTGTCTTATAGGGTTGCTATGAGTTGGAATTGACTCAACGGCAACGGGTTTTGAAAGCAAGTAATGAGTCAACAGATCGCTGAATGAAGAGCATCTACAGCTGTCTTTCTCAAACTCCCTGGTGATGTAGATTCTGCTGATCTGGGACCACACTTTGAGAACCAGTGTTCTGTGGCGTTTTGAGCCTCACCAAATTTGACATTTTACTTTAACTTGACCACAAATTAAAATAAATATTTTTCCTAGAATGATTTATGTCATTTGATCCATTAAATTTTGCATTAATTACTATTGACTATAGTGGAATTGCTTTGATATAGTATTTTTTAATAGTATTTATCATGCTTTTGTCCTTTTGTGACAGGTATGAATCTGTCAGTGTCACAGATTTTAAATCAAGCTGGAGAAATGGGATGGCTTTTTTAGCCATCATTCGTGCTTTGCGACCAGACTTGATTGATTTGAACAGTGTGAAGCATAGATCCAACAGAGACAATCTGAAGGAGGCCTTCAGAATTGCAGAACGAGAATTAAAAATCCCCAAATTACTGGAACCAGAAGGTAAAGAAGCTTCTTCCTTTTTAAAACAAATTCTATTTTAAAGTTCATCATGAAGTTGATATCAAAATAGTATTTATTAAACATAACATTCTGTAGCCTTGGAGGATTTAAACTCTTTCCTGAATTTCATGAAATTAAGACTTCCTACCAATTAGTTAATTTAGGTAATTGAGGGATGAAACCACAGCTGGAAGCAAACAGTGCTGTTGTTGGGAATAATTTGAGCCTGCGTCTTAGTTTTTCTTTTATTCCTTCTATTGTTTTCTATGTTGTGTTCTCCTTGATTTTATTATTCTTTTCTAAAATATCTCCCATAAGATTTGTTTCACTCAGTCTTGAATTCAAGTTGTTTATGTAACTACCCTTTCATACTCCCCACCCCTCGGTTAAAGCTGAATCTGTATGAAGACAGATACTGCTGCTTTCTATTTCTCGCTATATGGTTTACTCAGCTGTGCCCATTTATTGTGCTCAATTGTGTTGGATTGTTAACGAATTAAAAAAACAAAAATCCTAAGAACCAATACTATTCACAAAGATCATCATCAAATTAAATAATTTAACTTAATAAAACTGAGATTAAAATAATTTAATTCTTTCTGAAAAGCACTTTGCTTTGGATTGTATTGGTGGCACGGTGGGTAAGTGTTCAGCTGCTAACCAGGTCAGCAGTTCGAATCCATCAGCCGCTCCTTGGAAACCTTACGGGGCAATTCTACTCTGTCCTGTAGGGTCGCTATGAGTCGGAATCGACCTGACGGCAGCGGGTTTGGTTTTTTTGATTGTATTGTTTTATAATATCCCCACAGCTAGTTTTTAAAAGAAAGCAGTAAGGTCAGAAAAGAGGTATCCAGGATTAGTGAAAATTATAATGAACTAAGAGGTCAAGTGATTATAGCCTCAGCTCTGTAATCAGGGGTGTGCCAGTAAATGTTTAACAACTCTCTAAAAACTTGTGTGTATGTGTATCGGTAAAGTAGAGAGTCAGCGAAAGATAGGAAGACCCTCAATGACGTAGATTGACACAATGGCTGCAGTGATGGGCTCAAGCATAGCAACGATTGTGAGGATGGCACAGGACCGAGCAGTGTTTTGTTCTGTTGTACGCAGAGTCGCTATGAGTCAGAATCAACTCGATGGTACCTAACAACAATATATATATATATATATATATATATATATATATATATATATATATATATATATGTATATACGCACGCACGCACCCTGGTAGCGTTGTGTTTAAGATCTACAGTTGCTAACCATAAGGTCGGCAGTTGAATCCACCAGGCACTCCTTTGAAACCCTATGGGGCAGTTCTGCTCTGTGCTGTAGGGGTCACTATGAGTCAGAATTGACTCAACGGAAGTGAGGTTTTTTTTTAATATACGTATGTTTATTTTACTAATCTAAAGGATGTGTGGCACACAATTTACAAATGATAATAAAATATATGACACTCTATTATAAATTCAGTATAGTCCAACAGTGCCTTTGTTGGTACATCTTGTGTCTCTAGCCAGTTTATGGTTGGAATTGATGAACTAATGTAATTCCGACATGACAATTGTTGGTTGATGTGTTTCTTTACATTAGTAAGTGAAACAACGAAGATGTATGTTAGAACTTGCCTCGGTCTTTAATGGTGTGTGTGACTTCTTTCTTGACTCTAATACTGGAGGAATATTTTCTCATGTTTCTGTGCTACTCACAATATATGTGTATATATGCATACACACACACACACACACACATGGGACATACTTTTAAGTTTAATCTGCATTGCTAATGTTTTCACCATCCCTTTCTTTATAATCAAGAAAACAACAAATCAAACCCCCATTTGCTGATTTTTATAGTGTAAATATTCCTACCATGGCTAATTTCAACTTACTAATGTGAAATCACTGAACACAGAGATGGTAAGAGATGAGCAGTAGCACACCATTGTATTTTACTTCCACGATACAGATATGATAGACGTAAATAACCTCAAGGGCATAGGTAGTAGTCAAGGACAGATCACCCAATAAGCAAGGTACACACGGGCTTACTTGTGCTTACTTACTAATCCATTGTGAAGAATTTCACATTTTTTTCACCACATCAAAGATTCTGCTTCTAGGTATGGCTAGCATCTGCCTCTCTCCCAAAACCACAGCACCTCCCTACAGAATCAAAGCCTCTTTTCAGATTTACAATCTCTGACAGGGCGGATGACTCAGTAAGCAGGGTAAGCCGGGCTTACTTGTACTTAATTACTAATCTGTGGTGAACACTTTCACATAGTTTCACCACATTTTGCCAGTTTCACATTTCACATGTGAAATTGTTCACTATGGATTAGTAAGTAAGCGCGTGTAAGACCATGCTTACCTTGTTCATTGGATAATCTGCCCAAGTGAAACCCATGTGAAATTGTGACTGCAGATTAGTGAGTAAACACAATTAATCCTGTGTGTACCTTGCTTACTGTAAGCCTGTGCATACCTTGACCACTGGTTAATTTGCCCCTTCATGTAAAATAATTAGGAAGTAATTAGTTTTGAATATTTATTAAGTTTATTTTTAATATAATTTATTTAACTGTATGTTTAGGTAATTTAATTTTTAACTATGGCTGTATTTAACAACAACCTTACAAAACTGTTCAACATTTATGGATGAGCTCTTTCACACTGGTGCTAGTGGCACTGCTGACTAATTGGCAATAGATTAGTCACTTAACCTTTTTGGTCTTCAGTTTTTTTAATATGCAAAAATTACAGAGTTAGATTAGATAATATTTGTAAGTACACAGCTTAATGATTCCATATTTCTTTATATCAGCTGTATCATAGGTCTAGTTTCATGTTGCTTGTTATTAATCCTTTTTGTTAACGTTTTTAAATCTGTTTGTCCTCTCCTCTTTTTTTCCCCTTTCTCTCCCTTCTTTGCCTTTTCTATTTCTTTTTTGTCTTTTTATTATTATTTTTTATTTCTACCCATGCTTTGCTCTAATTCCATGTTTCTGATTATTGGTTTGTTTGTTTTGATACATCTCTCATCTTGTGATTCTTGTTAATATAAGACTATTTTAGTATCTGCAAATAATTAGACAACTAATTGTATAGATAATGAAATAAAAGGACATTTCCTCTATAGTATGATTGCCCCTAATTCATTAAAAATAGCTTAAATAATACCTCAGTAATTCAAATACATCATGATTATTGATGCAAATCAAATGCCATAGTCATACTTGAATAGGAGAATTATCCTTTGACACAATTTTTTTTTGAGTCTCTGCTTTCAGTCTTTTTATTTTTTGTTTTACGTGAAAGTTTACAGCTCAAGTTAATTTCTCATACAAAAATTTATACACATATTGTTATGTGACATTGGTTGCAATCCCTGCAATGTGACAGCACACTCCCCCTTTCCATCTCGGGTTTCTTGTGTCCATTCAACCAGTACCTCTCCCTTCCTGCCTTCTCATCCTCCCTCCAGACAGGAGCTGCCCATTTGGTCTTGTGTACCTGATTGGACTACAAAGCACATTCCTCACAATTTTTTTTTTATGTTTTATAGTCCAGTCTAATCTGCGTCTGAAGAGTGGGCTTTGGGAATGGCTTCAGTTCTGGGTTAACAGAGCATCCGCGGGCCATAGTTTTGGAGGTTCTTCCAGTCTCTGTCAGACCATTAAGTCTGGGCTTTTTCTGCGAAGTTGAGTTCTGCTCCACTGTTTTCTCCCACTCTGCCTTGGACTCTCTGTTGTGTTCCCTGTCTGGGCAGTCATTGGTGGTAGCTGGGCCCTATTCAGTTCTTCCGGTGCCAGGCGAATGGAGTCTCTGGTTTATGTGGGCCTTTTGTCTCTTGGGCTAATATTTTCCTTGAGTCTTTGGTGTTCTTCATTGTCCGTTGCTCCAAGTGAGTTGGAACCAATTGATGCCTTGTAGATGGCCACTTGCAAGCTTTTAAGACCCCAGGCACCACTCACCAAAGTAGGATGCAGAACATTTTCTTAATAAACTTTTTTATGCCAGTTGACCTAGATGTGCCCCGAAATTATGGTCCCCAGGCCCTAGCCCCAGCTACTGTGTCCCTCAAAGTGTTTGGTTGTGTTCACAAAACTTCTTAGCTTTGGCTTCAGTCGAGCTGTGCTGACTTCCCTGGTATTGTGTGTAGTCCTTCACTTCACCTAAGCTGATTCTTGTCTACTGTCTAGTTAGTGAATTCCCCTCTGTGCCCCCCACCCTCGTAACCAACAAAGAATGCTTTCTTCTGTGTTTAAACCTTTTGAGTTTTTATATACTGGTCTCATTCGATATTTGTCCTTTTGTGACATTTCACTTAGCATAAAGCCCTCCAAATTTATCCATGTTGTGAGATGTTTTGTGGATTCATCATTGCTCTTTATCATTGTGTAGTATTCCATTGTGTGTATGTACCATAATTTGTCTATCCATTCATCTGTTGATGGGCACCTAGGTTGTTTCCATCTTTTTGCTATTGTGAGCAGTGCTGCAGTGAACGTGGTTGTGCATATATCTGTTTGTCTGACAGTTCTTATTTCTCTAGGATATATTCAAAGGAGTGGGAATGCTGGATTGTGTGGTACTTCTATTTCTAGCTTTAAAAAGCGCCAAATCGATTTCCAAAGTGGTTGTAATATTTTACATTCCCACCAGCAGTGCATAAATGTTCCAGTCTCTCTACAGCCTCTCCAACATTTATTATTTTGTGTTTTTTGGATTAGTGCCAGCCTTGCTGGGGTGAGATGGTATCTCATTGTAGTTTTGATTTGCATTTCTCTAATGGCTAATGATCATGAGTATTTCCTCATGTGTCTGTTAACCACCTGAATGTCTTCTTTGGTAAAGTGCCTGTTCATATCCTTTGCCCATTTTTTAATTGGGTTATTTGTCTTTTTATTGTTGAGATGTTGCAGTATCTTATAGATTTTAGAGATTAGACCCTTATTGGATATGTTGTAGCCAAAATTTTTTTCCCAGTCTGTAGGTTCTCTTTTTGCTCTTTTGGTGTCTTTTGGTGAGCGTGTTTGATTTTTAGGAGCTTCCAGTTATCTAGTTTCTCTTCTGGTGTTTGTACATTGTTACTTATGGTTCATATACTGTGTGTACCATGTATTAGGGCTCCTAGAATTGTACCTATTTTTTCTTCCATGATCTTTATTGTTTTAGATTTTATATTTAGGTCTTTGATCCATTTTGAGTTAGTTTCTGTACATGGTGTGAGGTATGGTTCTTGTTTCATTTTTTTGCAGGTGGATATATGTTATGCCAGCACCATTTGTTAACAAGACTATCTTTTCCCCATTTAATGGACTTTGGGCCTTTGTCAGATATCAGCTGCTCACAGGCAGATAAATTTACATCAGGGTTCTCAATTCTGTTCCATTGGTCTATGTATCTGTTGTTGTACCAGTACCAGGCTGTTTTGACTACTGTGGTGGTATAATAGGTTCTAAAATCAGGTAGTGTGAGGCCTCCCATTTTGTTCTTCTTTTTCAGTAATGCTTTACTTATCTGGGACCTCTTCCCTTTCCATATGACATTGGTGATTTGTTTCTCCATCTCGTTAAAAAGTGTAGGAATTTGGATCAGATTGCATGTATCTGTAGATTGCTTTGGGTGGAATTGATATTTTCACAATGTTGAGTCTTCCTATCCATGAACATGGTATGTTTACTTCTGTAGGTGTCTTTCGGTTTCTTGCAGTAATGTCTTGTAGTTTTCTTTGTATATGTCTTTTATGTCTCTTATTAGGTTTATTCCTAAATATTTTCTCTTCTTGGGGGCTATTGTAAATGGTATTGATTTGGTAATTTCCTTTTCAAAGTGCTCTTTGTTGGTGTAGAGGAACCCAACTGATTTTTTTATGTTTATCTTGTATCCTGATACTTTGCTGAAATCTTCTGTTAGTTCCCTTAGTTTTCTTGTGGATTCTTTGAGATTTTCTGTGTATAAGATCATATTATCTGTGAATAGGGATACTTTTTTCTTCTTGCTTACTAATTTGGATGCTGTTTTTTTCTTTTTATTGCCTTATAGTTCTGGCTAAGACCTCCAGCACAATGTTGAATAAGAGCTGTGATAAAGGGCATCCTTGTCTGGTTCCCGTTCTCAAGGGGAATGCTTTCAGAGTCTCTCTATTTAGGATGATATTCTTGGACACAATTTTTAAAAAATATTTAATCACCATGCATGGCTTCATAAGTAATGAGAAATTTAAAAAAGGAAATAACTAGTTAAGCCAATATCATTATTTTGATCAGTCACTTGATACTTGATTTTTAATCTGTCTCTTGGTACAGCATGGTTTACTCAGGAAAAGTGTGCATCACGGTTGTATTCTTTTACTATACTTATTCAATCTGTATACTGAGAAAATAATCAGAGAAGCTGGAATATATGAAGAAGAACATGGCATCAGGATTCAAGCAAGACTCATTATCAACGTGCAGTATGCAGCTGACACAGCCTTGCTTGCTGAAAGTGAAGAGGACTTGAAGCACTTAGTGATGAAGATCAAAGACCATAGCCTTCAGTATGGATTACACCTCAACATAAAGACAACAAAAATTCTTTCAGCTGGACCAATAAGCAACACCATGATAAACGGAGAAAAGATTGAAGGTGTCAAGAATGTCATTTTACTTGGATCTACAATTAACACCCATGGAAGCAGCAGTCAAGAAATCAAAAGACGCGTTGCATTAGGCAAATCAGCTGCAAAAGACCTCTTTCAAGTGTTAAAAAGCAAAGATGTCACCTTGAAGACTAAGGTGCACCTGACCCAAGAAATGGTGTTTTCAATTACATGCTTGTGAAAGCTAGACTGAAGAAGAATTGATGCCTTTGAATTACGATGTTGGTGAAGGATATTGAGCATACCACGGACTGCCAAAAGAATGAACAAATCTGTCTTGTAAGAAGTATAACCAGAATGCTCCTTAGAAGCAAGGATGGCAAGACTATGTCTCACATACTTTGGACGTGTTATCAGGAGGATCAGTCCCTAGAGAAGGACATCATGCTTGGTAAAGTAGAGGGTCAGCAAAAAAGATAGATTGTCGAGATAGATTGACACAGTGGCTGTAACAATGGGCTGAAGCATAAAAATGATTGTGATGATGGCGCAGGACCAGGCAGTGTTATGTTCTGTTGTATGTAGGATCACTATGCTTTGGCACTGACTCGATGGCACCTAACAACAAAAACAACAACTTGATATTTATACCTTTCTCAGTAAAAGACAGAATAACTCAACTCTTGAGGGCCCTTTCTTTTTTGAGACTCCGTCCCCAGCTTTTTACAGATTGCTTTTATATGCTCGATGTTGTTAGTTGCTGTCAGTTGATTCCAGCTCATGGTGACCCCATGTGTGCAAAGTAGAACTGTCCCTTAGGGTTTTCAAGGGTGACTTTTCAGAAGCACATCATTAGGCCCTTCTTCCAAGGTGCCTTTGGGTGAGTTCGAACCACCAACCTTTCAGCTTAACCGTTTGCACCACCCAGAGAACCTTTTATATGCTAACTGCCTTGAATTACATTGTTTGCATGTGGGTTATAGTCAGTTTCGCCTTCAGCTGACTTAGACACCCATAAACACATTCCCTAGGTCAACTTGATGGTATACAACAAAAACAAAGCATAGTGTGCTGTCTTTGATGTTCGTTTTTTTCCTAAATGGAAGCTTCTTGAGGATGTCTTATTTCTGGCATCTGGCATCTGTTTATTGAACGAATAAAGGGATTTATTGAATGAATAAAGGGATGAAACAAAGTCCCTGAGGGCAAGGGCTGTATTCTCTGCCTGTGACCCGAAATTGTTGGCACTCTAAATATTTGTTGAATTGAGTTTAACTGAATTAGTAAATAAAGGGGACTTCTTTTGCACTGATTTTCAGTGAAATGCTGATTGCACAAATGCGGAAGCCTGCACTACTGCACTTCTGGAGGAGTCTCTGCGCTATGTTTCTGGAAACAGGAATGCTTTACTTTCTCCTTTCTACTCTCCCTCACTCATAATACAACATAAATAAAAACCTGTTGCTGTCACATTGATTCTGACTCATAGCAACCCTGTAGGACAGAGTAGAACTGCCCCATAGGGTTTCCAAGGAGCGACTGGTGGATTCCAACTGCTGACCTTGTAGTTAGCAGCCAGACTCTTTAACCACTACGTCACCAGGCCTCCAAAACATGCATTGTGACATTGTATTATTAGGAAACCAAGACTGCATGTACTGGTGCCAAGATTCAATCCAGATCTGACTGAGTCTAGATCTAAGCTTTTAGCTGCTGTACAGTCTTGGAGCAAGGGTAAGTGACCAGAGACTTCATCGCTGGAAGATTGCTTTGGTTCATTTCAAGTCTGCCCTGTGGCACAGCCTGTTCTGGGGTATTAATTGTAGTAGATCACATCCACAGCTAACTGACTGTGGGGCATATCTTACAGACGTGGATGTTATTAATCCTGACGAAAAGTCAATTATGACCTATGTGGCACAGTTTCTGAAGTATTCAAAGGATGCACCTGGGACTGGAGAGGAGACTCAGGTATGTCTTTATAAGTACAAATCAGGGTCATTTTTGTTGTACTCTAATTATTTAATTTTTAAAATTGAGATATGATTAACTTACACGGAAGTGTACAGATCTTAAGTGTACAGGTCTGAGTTTTAACAGATGCCTACAGCCATGTAAACCATACTTCAATCATGATGCAAAACATCGGTGACCAAGAACACTTTATCTTTGCTCTATCTAGTCTGTACGGCAGCAGACAACCAGTATTCCAGTTTCGTTCAGAATAGACTAATTTTCCCACTTCTTTTTGAAGTTCAAAGTGACAATTTATTAAGCTTTGTTGAATCATCTAAAATATCTTTTAAATAGTCACTCTATAGGACAAATTGATAAAAAAATTCCAGAGATATCAAATTTTTTTCCATAGTAATTTTTAACAGGCTTATTGAGGTATAATTCGTATGCTGTAACATTTACCCATATAAAGTGTACAATTCAGTGATTTTTAGTATATTCACAGAATTGTGCAACTCTAATTTTAGAACATTTTCATCATCCCAAGAAGAAAACCTGTACATTGTTTTTTTTAACTTCATAAATTGAATGGTATGTGTTATGTTCTACTCTTGATCCCTGTTTGTTGAGCTACTGCTCAATTTCCATCACATTGCCATTTGATTATCTCTTTTCCCCATTGACTTTTAGTCAATTACACAAAATATTATGGATGGAAATTTCATAAAAATCAGCGAACTGAAAGAGAACACTTAGTCTGCTTCAATGAAGATAAATGAGTACTGTGAATTTAGTGAAGTGTTTATGGATATTATTTATAAATGTATTTCAAACTATGTTCTCAGACATGTTTATATGCAGTCATATTATCACATTTTATTTGACAAATTAACCTATGTTTTCCCAGCTGTTATGTTTGGGGCACAGTGCCAAAATGTTGGAGACCCTGGAAAAGAGACTCACGCTTCTAATTCAGTTCAGTTATTTCTGACCTGCTGAGGAGCTGTTCTTTCCCAATTAATTTTCGTGTTAAAAAATTAAATTAAAAATTCAACTGTCCATGAAATTGGATACAAAAATTTTAGAAGACACTCTTGCTTAATAGAAAAGTAAATGGACATTAAGGGAGAATGGAAAGAAGATGTAATTACCTAAGCTAGAATCTAAGAAAAAATCATTGTTGCTCACTTCCATAAGATAGCATAACCAAAATATTTAGTAGCGTAATGTTTAAGATCTTTAAAATATTTAAGATCTTTTTTAATGTCAGTTTTTGCAAGGTGTGAACACCTCTTTAATTACCCCATATTTAGATTTATTAGAAAGCAGTCCTATGAAATGGCTACTATAAAGTGATTGAGAATAATGTTCTCTGAAAACTGATGAATAATAGAAATGGATACATCCCAAAAAGGAGGTTGCTTGCCCTGTTCCCTTAGCACATTATTATGTTTAGATGGTAGTTTCAATCCGTTTTAAAATTTAAGGTGTTATATGAATAAGCAAAATTCGTCTTTAGCACAATGAGTCATTGATGTGAAATGGCTACATTATTTCACTAACATTTTGGAGTTGTAAATTTTATTGTTAAGAAAAAAATCACCAAGGAATAATTTGGAAAAGGATAGTGAGAATAGCAGCACAACTGGAAGAATGTAACTGATGTCACTGAATTGTACATGTAAAAACTTTTGCTATGGTGTAACTTTGGCTATGTATATTTCTACCAAAAAAAAAAAAGTCCTCAAAGGTCGAGAAGGGAGAGTATTGACATGTCTTGGGGTGTAACCAGTGTCATAAAACAGTATGTGTACTGACTGTTTAATGAGAAACTGTTTATTCTGTAAACCTTCATCTAAAGTACAATAAAGAAATGAATAAATAATAAAAAAGAAAAAAGAAGAAAAAAATCACCAAGCCTAATTAGGATGTGGTTTTAAATGTGTTTTTATTTTTGTGAATTACAGGGAAAGGTGAAAGATGCTACAGTTTGGCTAACTTTACAGGAGAAAAAACTACAAGAGGTGCTAAAAGATTCAGAAAATGAGTCCTACTTTAAAAAGTATGAAGTAAGTATGAATTTAAACAGCAGTTTATTTTAGTTTACTCCTTTAGGGAAGAGTAGTAAGGATGTTTTTATAAAAATCTTTTAATTATTTAGGTATTAAATTAATGCCAAGTTTTAAGGCTGAATTCTAGGACCAACCAAAAACCAAACCTGTTGCCGTCGAGTCGATTCCAACTCATAGCAACCCTACAGGACAGAGTAGAACTGCCCCATAGGGTTTTTCCAAAGAGCGAGTGGCTGGTGGATTCAAACTACCGACCTTTTGGTTAGCAGCCCTAGCTCTTAACCACTATGCCACCAGGGCTCCGAATTCTAGGACAGTGCTTCTCAAATCTTAATGTGCATATGAATCACCAGGGGATCCAGTTAAAATTCAGATTCTGTTTTAGTAGGTCTGGGGTGGGCCCTGAGATTCTGCTTTTCTAACAAGCTCTCAGGGGATGCTACTGGTCCTTGGACTACTTTAAGTAACAAGGTTCTACAGCAGGGGTTGGCCCTGCCAGCTGCTCTTATAAATAAAGTGCTGTTGGAACAGAGTCACACCCATTTGTTTAATTATTGGCTATATCTACTTTTGAAGCCCTGGTGGTGCAGTGGTTAAGAGCTTGGCTGCTAACCAAAAGGTGGGTAGTTTGAATCCACCAGCTGCTCCTTGGAAACCCTGTGGAGCAGTTCAACTCTATCCTATAGGGTTGCTATGAGTTGGAATTGACAACGATGTGTCTACTTTCACATTACAACCGTAGAGTTGAGTATGTTCAACAGATCATATGGCCCACAAAGCCTAAAATATTTACTATCTGGCTGTTTACAATAAATGTTTGTAGACCCCGGTTTAGCGCAGAGTATGCTTTTCAGAATGAATATTGAATGAAAGAAAATCAAGAAACCAGGAATAGGACATTCCCAGAATTACAATACGGGGCCTGAACCAAAAAGTCCTTTGGGGAATAATGGTAACTTATGATCACTACATACTGACTATTTGCTATGTACCAAGCACCTTGCTAGTAAACATTTTGCATGTTACCACATCTTTCTGAGGTGGAGGTGTTGTTATTCCAGTTTTACAGATGAAGGTTTATTTCAAGGTTTAGAGGGAATGGGTGACTTATCTAAGGTTACAAAGGTAGAGGTGAAGTTTGAATAGAGGTGTGGCTTCAAAGCCCTGGCTCTTTTTTCATCCTGATGCTTCCCCAGGGCAAGCAGTTATTCCCTATACAACCTTGAAAGGGACTAACAGGACCCAAAGAGAAGTTTCTGTAGTCCTGTCCCTTACAACCCATTGTCAATGCAACTCTGTGCTAACAATCGCCCATCATGAGTAAGGTAGATTCTGTCATGTGCTTACATAGCACCTAGCATCTCTAGACCTCCATTTCCCTATCTGTTAAATGAAGGAGTTGGGAGAGTCCAGCCATTCCAACTGTGATGTTTAGTGGATTGTATGACATGTGGGCCATACTATCTTTTTGATTTGGAGCCATCATGGAATTGAGGGATCAGACATTCTCATTTTCCATGGTTCTGAGCTTCATAGGCCTCTATGCTTCTTTCTTAGCCCTAGCCTGAGATTTTTTTTCATTGACAAGATGCTTAGCGTCCACTGGAAGAGGCTTGTTCTCACCCATATCTTTGATTTAGTAAGGTACCACAGATTCAGATTTCTCAGAAAGAAGGCTTTATAAAGTTATTCGTTATTGGGAAGAATCAAATGAATTATCCCTTATATGTTGATAAAATTTAATGAAAAATGCTGTCAATAATTAATGGATAATATTTTAAATAATGTTTATTCAATCGATGACCCAAATATTTTACATAAATGCAAACCACAAAAAATGCTTTATTTATTAAATTTTTGAGGACAAGGATAAAGTGTTTTCTAAAGCCTGTAGAAATGACTTGGAAAGAATTTGCTCAAGCCCAGTTAATTGTAAACACCGAAATTCATTTATACAATATTCCCACTGTCATGTAATTCTTACTTCAACTCATTTTTATGTTGTTGTGAACATGTATTGGGGGAGGTCAAACAATTTCACATTTAGCACGTGGCATCACGATGTGTCCTCTAGAGCTTGGTGACCTTGCCGCTCTATTTGAGTAGGAATCCCAACAGTGCTGACACAATCCACAAGCCACCCACTATGTCACTCTGATGGCATCCAAATTTGCAGGATGCACTGAAGAAAGATGCCAGATCATTGAGAGCATACTGAATTCAGAAGATTTTGCCTTTACTTAAGTAAAATTGTAAATATAACCTATAGCTGTATCTGAAAATAGCAGATTACATTTTATAAACTGAATTAAACATTTTAAACTTTATAATACCTCTTGTAATTGTAGAGCCTGCTGTCCTTTTTGGAATCATTCAATGAAGAAAAAAAGCCCTTTTTGGACATCCTGTCGATAAGAAAGAACTTGGATGAGCTGAATCAAGATCAGCTACAATTGAGAAAAGCCTGGGATGGCCTCAACCACCAGGTTACTCTGTTACATTGATTATAGGGGCATTTCCCTGGGGCAGCTTTGTTTTGTTGGTTGAGGACTTTAGACTTCCATGAGAAATTCTGTAAAAAGCAGAGTAGATGCTTCATCAGAAAGTGGGATAGCGTTCAACTTTGGTTGAATTTAAATAAGAATTTATAACACTCTACTTAGATAAATTGCAAGCTTATACAGCTTTTATGTTTGCCATTGATTCTTGGTTTGCTGCAATAGATTGTCTGTATTCTTATCGACCTGCAGCCTCCTCTCTACCATTAACCAGTGTCATGTGTCCCTATCAGTAGATGCTCAAAGAGGGTGAGGGACAAACCCGGAGAGAATGAGTGTAAGAATGTATGTATGTGAATATATGTGTATAACTTTGGTCTTTTTAAATTTATTGAGACTTGGTGTATAGCCCAACATAGGGTATATCTTGCTGTACATACCATGTGTAGTTGAACAGAACATGTATTCTGCAGTTGTTGGGTATACTGTTCTATAAGTATCAATTAAGACATAGTGGTTGATAATGTTGTTTAGATCATCTATATCTTGGCTGATAATTTGGTTGTTCTATCAGTTGCTGAGAGGAGATTAAAATCTGTAACAGTAACTATGGAATTCTCCTACTAATTCTGTCAACTTTTGCTTCCTATTTTAAAAACTTTGTTATTAGATCAAGCTGGTAGATTGTAGCATTTAGATCTTCCATGTCTTTGTTGAGCTTCTTTCTGGATGTTCTGTCCTTCACTGAAAGTGGTGTGTTGAAGTCTCCTACTAGTATTGTGGAGCTGTCTATCTTTTCAGTGTTAGTGTTTGTTTTATGTATTTTGGAGACCTGTCGTTGGGTGCATAAATATTTATTATAGTTATGTCCTCCTGGTGTATTGATGCTTTAATCATTATATAGTATCCTTCCTTATCCTTTGTGGTGGATTTTACTTTAAAGTCTATTTTATCAGAGATTAATATTGCCACTCCTGCTCTTTTCTTTTTTTTACTGTTGTAATTAAATGAAGTTTACATTTCAGGTTACTCTCCCATACAGAATTTTTTTTTTTTACATACATTTTTATGAGACTCCAACCACTCATCCCATTCTGCGACAGCACACTCCTCTCCTCTGCCCCTGATTCCCCATGAACATTCAAGCAGCTCCTAACTCTCTCTGCCTTCCCATCTCACCTCTGAACAGAAGCTGCCCATTTGGTCTCTTGTATCTACTTGTCTAAGAGGCACATTCTTCACAAGTATCACTTTATGTCCCATAGTCCAGTCCAATCCCTGTCTGAAGAGGTAGCCTCAGAAATTGTTTTAGTTCTGGGGTGATGGAGAGACCAGGGGCCTTGCTTTCCGGGGTGCCTCCAGTCTTAGTAGACCATTAAGTCTGTTCTTCTTACTAGTATTTGAGTTCTGCATCCCATCGTTCTACTGCTCCATCAGGGACCCTCTGCTGTGTTCCCTGTCAGGACGTTCATTGGTGGTAGCCGGGCACCATCTAGTTCTTCTGGTCTCAGGCTGATGAA